GAAGAGTCCTGGAAAAGGCAACAGGAAAGGAATATCCCAAGGGGAAGAAGATCTCCCTAAGAGGTGTTGGTACGTGAAAGATGAATTCGCCGGGCTGTTGACGCCCTCGCTGACAGTGTTACACAGAGTCTATCAAGATGGGAACTACAGTAGCCACAAACGCTCTCCTCGAAAGGAAAGGAGAACGCACAGTATTTGCTGTGACGAAGGGCCTCAAGGTAAGAACGACAATCTAAATCAAAAGTTCGGGAGCTCCTATATTTACAATCGACTTTCAGGATCTACTGCACATCGGCAACCAGTCAAGACCGAAACTCTTCGACCTCGCCATCCGCAAACCCGACGTACTATACTCAAAAGTCATTGAGATCCCAGAACGCGTGACACTGGACGCATGGTCAGAAAACAACAAGCCCGAACCCATCGACGTCTCTTCAGACCCCGCTCTCGTCACCGGCGTCACCGGTGAAGCAGTCCGGGTGCTCGAGCCTCTGGGTAAACTCATCCATTGAACATTCTCCTCTGCAAAGCGAGCACAAACTAACACAACCACTCACCCACAGACCTCGAGGCATCCAGAAAGGCCCTCCAAGAAGCCTACGACGAGGGCTACCGCTCCATCGCCGTCTGCCTCATGCACAGCTACACCTTCCGCGACCACGAGGCGGCCATCGCACAGCTCGCCGCCGACATCGGCTTCACACATATCTCACCGAGCGCCGAGCTCTCTCCGGTCGTCAAGATCGTGCCCCGCGGCAACTCCTCCACCGCCGACGCCTATCTCACCCCCGAGATTAAGCGCTACATTGCTGGCTTCGAGTCCGGCTTCGAGGACCTCGCCAACAGCGGCTGCCGGTGCGAGTTCATGCAAAGCGATGGCGGCTTGGTCGAGTTTTCTGGTCTGTCTGGTCTGAGGGCCATTCTTTCTGGGCCTGCTGGTGGTGTCGTTGGGTACGCTAGAACGTGCTATGATGACGCGGATAAGACACCTGTCATTGGATTTGATATGGGCGGCACGAGTACTGATGTTTCAAGGTATGGATAAATGAGAATCTCACTTCGTGAATATGATACTGACACATTGCCCTAGATATGCCGGCGAGCTCGAGCAAGTCTTCGAGACCACGACGGCCGGTGTCATGGTCCAGACTCCCCAGCTGGACATCAACACCGTCGCGGCGGGCGGCGGCAGCATCCTCAGCTGGCAGAGCGGCATGTTCAAGGTCGGGCCCGAAAGTGCCTCCGCACACCCCGGCCCGGCCTGCTACAGAAAGGGCGGCCCCCTGACCGTCACCGACGCCAACGTCGTTCTCGGCCGCGTGAGGCCCGAGTTCTTCCCAAAGATCTTTGGCCCCAATGAGGACCTGCCTCTGGATGTCGACGCCAGTAGACGCCTCTTTGAGGAGCTCACGGCGAGCATCAACAAGGACGAGGGCACCACCTTGACCGTGGAACAAGCCGCAGCTGGGTAGGTGACACTATGATAATTCAGCTCATCAAAAGTTCTCAGACTGACGCAGCACGCAGCTTCCTCGACGTCGCCAACGAGTCCATGTGCCGCCCCATCCGCACCCTCACCGAAGCAAAAGGCTACGACGCGGGCCTGCACAACCTCGCCTCCTTTGGCGGCGCCGGCGGCCAGCACGCCTGCGACATTGCAAAGACGCTCGGCATCTCCCGCGTCCTCGTCCACAAGTACTCCTCCGTCCTCTCCGCCTACGGTATGGCCCTCGCCGACGTCGTCAGCGAGGAACGCAGCCCCTGCGCCCTGACCTACACCGAGGCCAACCTCGCCACTTTCGCCTCGGAGCTCGACAAGCTCGTCGAAAGGGCGGGAGATGTCCTCCTCATGCAGCGCATCCCCGAGGACCGCATCGTGAGCGAGCGATACCTCAACATGCGTTTCCAGGGCAGCGATACCCCGCTCATGATCCAGGAGACGGCGGCAGCTCCCAGTGGGGGCTACCTCGAGGCCTTCAAGGACGCCCACCAGAAGCAGTTTGGATTCCTGCCCGTCGGCCGCGACGTCATAATCGACGACTACCGCGTCCGCGCCATCGGCAAGACGACGGTCCAGCTCCCCGTTCCTTGGCCCAAGGAGCTTGCCTCTGCCGAGGCGACCGTGGCGCCGCCGGCCAAGACGACGAAGCAGGTCTACTTCAAGGGCCTGGGCTGGTCCGAGACGCCCGTGTACGGCCTCGCGGGTCTGAAGCCGCATACCCAGATCGCCGGCCCCGCGCTCATCATGGACGACAAGCAGACGATTGTGGTGATCCCCGATGCGGCGGCGACGGTGCTCTCCGAGACGGTTGTGATTGACGTTGCCGTTGGGACCAAGGAGACCATCTCCACGACGACGATTGACCCGATCCAACTGTCCATCTTTGGGCACCGGTTCATGGGCGTTGCGGAGCAGGCTGGTCGCGCGCTGCAGAAGACGAGCGTGAGCACCAATATCAAGGAGAGGCTGGATTTCTCGTGTACCGTGTTTTCGCCTGATGGCGGGCTCGTGGCGAATGCCCCTCACGTCCCTGCCATGGTAAGTCTTCGCAAAACTCAATAGATATAATCATGGTTGGATGAAAAAAGACTAAGACGTGGTTTTACAGATCGGAAGCATGGCTTTTGCTGTGAAATGGCAGATCGACCACTGGGGCGACAACCTCAAGCCAGGAGACGTCATCCTCTCCAACGCACCAGTCTGCGGCGGCACCCATCTCCCCGACCTCACAGTCATCACCCCCGTCTTTAACGCCGAGGGCAGCAAGATCATCTTCTGGACCGCCTCCCGAGGCCACCACGCCGACGTCGGCGGCATCCTCCCGGGTTCCATGCCCCCCAACTCCAAGGAGCTGTGGGAAGAGGGCGCCGTCATCAAGGCCTTCAAGGTCGTCGAGGGCGGCGTCTTCAAGGAGAAGGAGCTCACCGACCTCCTCATGGCGCCGGCGCACTCGCCCGGCTGCTCCGGCACTAGGTGCCTCCGCGACAATATCTCCGACATCAAGGCGCAGGCGGCGGCGAACCACCGCGGAAGCCAGCTGATTCACTCGCTTATTGAGGACTACGGCCTCGACGTCGTCCAGTTCTACAGTAAGTCCATTCCCCTTCCTTTCACCTACAGAAATGAAAGGTACCCATACTAACACCCCAAACAGTGGAAGAGATCCAAGGCGCAGCCGAGCGCGCCGTCCGCGACATGCTCAAGACGATCCACAAGCGCACGGCAGGCAAACCCCTCGAGGCAATCGACTACATGGACGACGGCACCCCGATCCAGCTCAAAGTCACAATCGACCCGACCACCGGCGGCGCCGTCTTCGACTTCCACGGCACCGGGCCCGAAGCCTACGGCAACTGGAACGCGCCCATCGCAATCTGCAACTCGTCCATCATCTTCGCCCTCCGCTGCATGGTCGACGCCGAGATCCCGCTCAACCAGGGCGCCATCCGCCCCATCGACGTCCAGGTCCCCGAGGCTTCTCTCTTAAAGCCGACAGAGTATGCCGCCGTGTGCGCCGGCAACGTTTTGACTTCGCAGCGCGTCGTCGACGTCATCTTCAAGGCGTTTGGCGCGGCGGCGGCCAGCCAGGGGTGCATGAACAACCTGACCTTCGGCACGGACGACCCGGAGACCGGGTTCGGGTACTACGAGACCATCTGCGGCGGCGCGGGCGGCGGACCGAGCTGGGATGGTGTCAGCGGCGTGCACACCAACATGACCAACACGCGCATCACGGACCCGGAGTCGCTGGAGCGGCGGTACCCCGTCATCCTCCGCCAGTTCTGCCTGCGCGAGGGAAGCGGCGGAAAAGGAGCTCACACGGGAGGCGACGGCATCATTCGGGACATTGAGTTCAATATCCCGATCAAGGTCAGCATCCTCAGCGAGAGGCGGGCGTTTGCGCCGTACGGCATGGCGGGCGGCGAGGACGGGCAGCGGGGCCGTAATGTGTGGGTCAAGAAGAGCGGGCGCATCGTGAACCTCGGCGGCAAGAACACGGCCATGATGGAGGCGGGCGATCGCATTGTTATCATGTCGCCTGGCGGTGGTGGCTACGGACGGCCTGAGGATAGGGTTGAGGGGGAGGCGAAGCCGGCGGCTGCGTTTGTGGGTGTTGCGAATGGTACGGTTGATATGATTCAGAGCATGGGAGAGTCTGCATAGAGAGCATCTTGGGACGGCGTTGGGTTCATGCTTATTGTAATATCCGGGGTATTCTTGCTGCTGACACTGTCACGAAATATGACATCAAATATTCGCCATTATGGAAATGTCCAATCATGCTCAATGGGGTTTCGATCTTCACTTATTGAATGACTACAGTATCAACATGTCTAAAGCTTACAGTCAGTATTCTCGACTCTCTTCCACCCAGACTTACGAGTGAGCGCAGTCGTTCGACTTCATTAGGCCTTTATTCACAAGGTCAAGTCACTCGCAAAATGACAGACATCCAGCGCTGCAGTAAAACCCTGATCTGTATTCATTCCATTTTCGCTATGCAGTCAATTCTCTGTTCCGGGCGTACTTAAAATAAGGGCGAAAACATCGCCACCGTCGCCTTAATCCTCTCTGTCAATCGTGGTATCATGAGCAAACAAAAAATCGCTTTTTGGTGCCGCCCCTTTTTCTTTTCTTCTTGCCCTGTTGTCCCGGTCCCTCATGTCTCCCTTTTTTTTCTACTCCAGAAACTGCGCAGTGTGGACGAAAAAGCATGCCGTCCCTTATATAACAAGTGATTTTCGTAGTCAGATTATCGACTCTCGGGTTGACAACCCTCTTGGACACACACCCCCGGCGGCTTTTGTTGACAACAGCCTTGGTCTTCGGTAAGGCGTAGGATGATGTTTCCGAGTAATTGCCGGTCAAAGTAGGTATCCCAAGCCTGAAGCCTAATTCTCCAAGACCGGATCCTATCCTACTGTTGGTAGTAATTCTGGAAATAATCGTTGATAACGGCGGGTTGATGAAGATACGAAGCCATAATTAGGTCGTCACTCTATGATACGCTAGCGCTGGCGCTTTCGCTATATGCTTCAAGCTCCCTAAGACTCTGCATGAGAGCGGCTTCCTTGAGATCTTCGGTCTCTTGGCTGTAGACTGCTGCGGATGACTCAGTCGTGTAATTGGGCGCAGTCTCAGCAGCTTGGGAGACCTGCGGCTGGATATGCTGCTGCTGAGGTTGGTGCTGCGGCTGTTGAGAATGGTGTTGCGGCTGTGGCGTTCCCGGGTGAGAGTGATGCTGGATGTGGGAATGCGTCGGCGTCTGCGGCTGAGTTTGTGGCAAGCTGTGAGATGTTTGTAATTGAGCAGCTGTCGCAGCATACGGCGAGGAGGCCGGCAAAACTCGAGCATGTGTCGGTGTTGCTTGTACCGGCGTGGCAGGTGGGCCCGCAGCAGCAGCATGCGTCGGTGTCGTCGCATGGGCGGCCATGTGATGCGAGACCTGAGCGGCAGACTGTGACGGCGTGCTCGGTGCAGTCGCTGGTGTCACGCTTGCTCTATTTTGCTGAAGGTGCTGCGCATGTTGTGCGTGTTGTACATGCTGTGGATGCTGCGGGTGCTGTGCATGTTGAGGGTGGTGGGGATGCTGAGGATGCTGCAACCCGCCCGCCAGTGTCATGATGCCCTGTACCCGAGCTTGTTCCTCCTCTGAATTCATCCTAGCTCGCTCCTCAGCCTCCTTGCGGGCTGCTTGTGTAGGTGCCCTTGTCTTGAGCTCGCCTGTAACGGCTTGTAGATAATACGGCATCTCGGAGTTTGTCTTTAGGAAGAAGAGCTTCAAGTTCCGGGCCTTGTCTTTGAGCTGGACTTGCGTTCGATCTTTCAATATGTTGGAAAGAGTGCCCTCTGCACCGAACAGAGATAGAATTTGGCTCCAGTGAGGTCCCTGGACCATGTCGAGACCGGTCATAAGGGCCTTCTCCTCCTCTTGAGTCCATGGGCGTCTTGTCGAAGTGGTGCCTTCTCTTCTCTGCTGGTTATTGGTCTTGCTCAAGGCAGCTTGGCGGGCCCTGTCGTAGAGCACAGCACTGGGTAGGCTCTGACTAGGAGGCAGCTTTTCGTTGCTCTCATGAGCGGCAGGCTGCGGTGGTTGTTCTACTGGTGGCGGGTATCCGTAGTACGGTGATTGTTGCTGGGTTTGTTGCAGATGTGAGAGGTACGTCGTCTGCGTAACCGGAGCGGCGCCCGTCGGTGTGGGTACGGTTGGCTGATAGGGCGCTGGAGACAGGTTGTTGAGTGTAGTTCGAACGTACTCCTGTGTGCTCTGTGCAACAAGCGCGAGAATGTCATTCGTCGCGTCTTGACTTTCAGTCGTGGTACCATTCGTGGTTGGCGCCGGGGGAGCGGTTTCAGGCGCCGGCGCAGGTGGTTCAGGGGGCGGGACACTGCTCTCAGTCGTCGGAACTGGCGGTTGTTGTTCGGCAGGTAATCCATCGGCCGGTTCACTAGGGAGATATTGCGCAACAAGTCCGTCTGTAGCCTCCAGTAATGATGAGATTCCGAGGTCGTCGAGATCGGGTGGCATCGATGCGTCGAGGTCTCCGTTCGTCATAATCTGCGGAAGATCGATGCCGTGTCTTGAGGCCAGTCCAGAGAGCGACTGTAGCTTTTGGCGCAGGTACACGTTCAGTTGGTGAAATAGGTCTTCCTCCGGATAGCCGATCTTCAGTAGAACTAACTCGATGTATTAGTCATGGGCCTCATCAGCCTTTGCACTCGATAACTTACCAGTATCTGGGAGTCCTGACGCGTAAGTAATCAGAGACGTTTTGCGCTCCTCCACAGATGTCACCAGAGCTCTCTCTTCAGCTGTCAACTCAGATCCTTCGTGTCTTGCCTTTAGCTTATCTTCCAGGCTAGACGAGAAAGCCAGGGCAATCGACTGGTCAACAGGCCCAGACTGATTCGCTGATGTCACGGACTCGATGACTAGCTGTGTCTTGACTGCGAGGAAGAGCTCAGAGATATCGTGCGAAATGCCCTCGGTGCCTGGCGGAAAGACGGTGAAAAATTTGTCCTCCAGAGCCAAGAGCTCGTTCGAGCTGAGTTGATGTTCGCCGTCGAAGGTGAAAAGTTCGCAACAGAAGCTGGCGAGGTTGGCGACTTGGATGTCGGTGAGGTTATCCGGCGCAGTCAGGTCAAGCACCGCGGGGTCCAAGATAAGGTCGGTCGTTGAGTAGATCGATCGGGTTTGTCGGAGCAGAGACTTGAGTGTGCTAAAGGACTTGCAGAGGTCTGATTCCCTGTCTTGTAACTGCTGATACACGTCGTGGTAAACATGTTGCGACATGATGACGAGGAGCTGCATAGCCTGAGGATTGAGAAATGATTAGCGGCGCCTCCAGAGCTGACGAGACCGCCACGTACAAAGTTTGACAAACAGGAGGTGGATATGCGCCTCATCAAGGCCGAAGGCTCAGAGAGAACAATGGCATGTGTGTCAGTTGACGGGGCAGAGTCTTGCGACACAGATGCCAAGTGATCTGCCGTCATATCGACATCCGTGACGCCGTCCAGACCCTCGACCTTCCCTATCTCATTGTTCATCTCGTTGTTCATCTCGTTGCTGATATCCATCATTACGCCCTGGATCATGGCGTCCATGTCAAATCCAAGATCGAGAGCCGCATGGTCGTCGTGGTTTTCCTCCTGAGTTTGCTCTTGAGTTTGCTCCTGGGGTTGCTCTCGGGGTTGCTCTTGAGGCTGCTCTGAAGGCTGCTGTTGAGATTGCGCTTGAGATTGCTCTTGAGATTCTTCGAATGCTTGTTCGAGTGATCTCTCGATCGACTTTTCGATTGACTTCTCGAGTGATTCCTGAAGTGATTGCTCGAGTGACTTCTCAAGTGATTGTTGCTCCGGGGTCTGTTGGGGGGGTTGATCGTCGTCAACTTTCAGCCTCTTGGACTCGGCTTCGGGGTCGTCTGCGCTCGAATCGCGGGGTCGCTTCAGCGGGAACTGAGGGGTCTCGCCCAGATTGGTGGTGACAGTCGGGGACTCTTGCTTCATTTCTGGTCCTACTGCGACAAGTCAGCATGTTTTGCGACGCTCGCAAAGGCGTCCCTCGGGTGCGTGCAAGTCGTTTCGAGGCCGAGTGAAGATCTTTTGCTTGGTGGGATGGCGGGAAAGGCAAGCGCATACCTGTCGGCGAGTGCGCCTCAGGCTTGGCGGCCTGAGCCGACTCGGCAATAGCTTCAATGCCCTCCATGAGCATCGAGAAGCACGGAGACAGCTTTTTGGGGTCAGTCTAGTCGCCGTGCAGCTCAATGGCGGGGGGTCAGTCGTGATCTTGACGGTTCTTGGACTGAGGCGGAAAAACTTTTTGGGAGAAAATCCGAGCGCCGATGCCCTTATAATCTGCCCCAAAGAAGATGTCACTCCCGATACACAGGAAGGAGCGATTTCTCAAAAAAATTCACCGCTGCTTCCCAGTAAAGAATGACTGCTGATTGGCCAGCGCAATCAAAATGCAACTTGGTCCATGCGTCTGGTCTCCACTCAGCCACTTTATCGCAACGATTTTTTTTTTTCGTCTCCCCTGCCCCTCGGAGCCGCGTCCACCTACACGCCGAATCCAGATGGCCATCCCAACCCCTCAATTTTTCCGTTCTCAAGACGGGGAAGCTCAAAACCTTCTGGGTAGGCTGCTATCGAATTCTTTCCTGCCTCAGGAACGAGCCAATAGTAGCACTCAAGGCTCATCCTATCTAGATAGTAAACCACATGCCTTGTCTTTCACCGCATACGGAGTACTCTCTTTTGTAAATGCTCAAATAATACAGTCTGTCACCCAGCAACGGATACCTTTTCTTCAGGGACAATCATATTGCTGTCATCCCGCATGACGTCATTCCCCAGATTCACCCCCTTCAGTCTGGGGTTCTTGGAGATTGATGACCAGGGGATCAACACGAGATGTCACTGGCTCATTCTGCCAATCGCGACCGCCGGGAGCTCCTGTCCACATTTTGACAGGCCATTCCAGTAGATTGATCATTATCCTTTTATACTGTAGCGGCTCACGAAGTGGTCGTTGGAAATTTAGGCAAGAGATTGATACGTTCATGTTTGAGACCCGTCGAGTCCGGCGTGTAAGTCGGTGATAATCATACCTTAGGCAGATGTCGATGATTCCTACTCTATCCTCAAGCCCAGAGGATAGGCTCAGACTCAGACGTCTGTTTGAGGCGTTTGAATCTTAGAGCCGGGCAGGAATGAAGTCGACAAGATGGATGCTGGACCGTGAGGGAAGGTAAGTAGGGCAGGTAGTGCCTGTTTATTCTGCCTTGCCGCTCCTTCCAAGTTCCTCACGGTCAGAATGCAGCCTGCCGTTCTTTCCTTTCAGACGAAGTCAGGCCAGCTAGGCAGGTGCCTTTCAGTCTTGCACCGTTTGCACGAGGCAAACAGAAATGCTTCCACTTCTTCCTCATATCTACTGACATGCCATATCTTCCTTCTCTTTGCTCACAAATACCTACCTCTCTGATTCACCATCGGAAAGAGCTTCGAAATGGTGGCCAGCCATGATGCTGCGGGCACAAAACATTACTCCTAGAAAGGATCAAGCATTACCTGGGTCACCCGGACATCAAGCATGAACATATCGACGCGTTGCAAAATTCTCTCAAGCTCTCCTCCATTCCTTACCTCAGCGACATTGACGCCAAGCTTGAAATCGCTAAATATTGGTGTCTCACTATGCCTTCAGATAGGGCGATAGTGAGCCGACTAGAGTGGGCATCAATCATGATGGCACCGATTGAGGCCATCTCGAGGTTGCCTAATAAAGATGGCATAGGCGATGAAGACTCTTCAGAAACAGTTGAATGCCCTCTCGGACGGTCGAGTATTTTTCTTGAAGCACTTATCAAAGAGCGTAAGCTGTGCACAACACTTTGTGGGAGGTTTCTGAGCTAACGTGGGTAAAATCTAGTGTTTCCCAAACCCGGTGATTTGACGGTTCTCCAACGGCTGCCACAAATTGCCACTGAATGTTCTCAAATGGATGACATTCTGGAGGGCGACATTGAGCAGGCTCAGGTAAGCACATACGGGCCACAAACTTGCTAAGGCAGATGCTGATTCGCGTAGTCTGCTTGTATACTTCGAGACAAGGACACTTGTGTTGTCACGAAATCTGCCGATCCTAAGGCCTGCCTGGTGCTTCCTTTCCCCGCCGAGAATACTGCCTCAGCGTTGTACTACATCTCGCATGAAGATTCGGAAGAGTATTTCGGCTTCGAGATTCGCAAGTATATCACCACTTTCCTGTCGCCGGCGACTGTGTTCTCATCGGCGAACCTAATCTCTCTCAACGATACTCTCTTAAAGTGGTGGGCGAAGGCGTGGATTGCACTCGAACCCGTTTCACAAACCGACTTTTCAATTCGACTTCGATTCAGATGGCTCCGAAAACCAATGTTCCATCGCGAAAAGGATTACACAGTGGGATATCGCGGCTGTTCCAAGTTCATTCATGTATGCCCGACGTGTACACATCACCACAGACCCTTGTATGGTCTCTAGGGAAAGACTCACCAAGTCTGGAAAACCACTTCGCATGGTTCACTATGAAACACGCGAGTACATTGAGGATGGTTATGAATTCGACATTACCGCGGGTAAGAAAGAAGATCTTCCAGATTTTGGGCTGCTCAAAATTCGGTACACACTCTCAGTAGCAATGTCACTGACAGGCGAGGGCATGGATGGGGAAGAATGATAGAGCAGTCTGTCCAGGATATCATGACAAGCCACAGACGTGCGGAGGAGACATAAATGATACCCGAGATGGATGCAATGTTTCTAGATATTGCCATCGGGTCTATGATGGGGAGGCTTGCTCAGATAGACTAAGTCACAGGCCAAGCAAAACTCTACTATCCACGGCCGCAATGTTCACACGAGCTCATCAGGACAGCTTGCTGTCAAGAATACCGAGAATAATTACTACAAGGCACTCACTATTCCGGCACATGTAGATTCTTCGCAACTTCAATGCAAAGCTATGAATATCCCTGCCAGCCTGAGTACCTCTCGGTGCCGGATAATTGCGTTCCTACTTCCCGTTGTTAAGTCTTAAGCGTCCGCCAAGGAAACTTCGGCTAGGAAGTGGCATTCCATGTCAAATTTCATAACGGCCAGGCTGACTTGCCATTGGCCACAAAGCTACGAGGGTTCCTAGACGAAAGGTGCCTGAGAGAGCCGCTTCAGTCCTTGAGAGCCACCGTGTTGGTACTCTTCTTCACGGGGGGCGTGTCCGAAGACAGCAAACATCCTATCTTAGACCTGATTCGTCGAGTATCTGAAAAGGACCCCTAAATTGACATATCAAGCTGCTTGCCTTTGACGGTATGAACCCTTGGCGAGGATCCTGCTTCGGCGCCCAGACCTCATCAGCCATGGTTCTCGAAGTAAGGGCAGCGGCTGTCACGATCATTGTCACACAGCCATCATCATATGGTCTTATGAGAAGATAAAATTCACGAACAACTCCAGCTGACATTACAATCAACTACAAGGCCTTCACTTCTGGTGGTAGGCACCGGGTGAGCGGTTCTTTTAAAGGGTTGCCGCAGATGCCCGCAGATGGAGCCGGCCGGCTTGCATAAGTGGCTTATAGCCGCGAGTGAAGGGGCCTGGCACATCAACTGATGTAACATTTCATTCATAAAAGGGATGAGAACAAGCTGCTCCAGACGAACAGTGGTTTATGGTATCAAACTAGCATCTCGTTGAACCCAACAGCAGCTGACACAACAAGCTCGTCCGCCCCGTACGGACAGAGGGAAAAAGACGGTGGTCACGGGGTAAGGTATCTGTCCAAAGGAGCCGCAAAAGTGCGGGGATCCGGGGATCAACTAAATGGCCAAACACCGCCCGGCGTTCAAGCGGACCGGGGGATGTGGTGGGCGGTTTAGCTTAGGACCATCCAAGTCAATCCCAAATCATCATCAAGAGAAACAATGAGCCAGATCGCCCCGCGTCTATTGGACCAAGAAGTTGAAGACAGTAAGTGGCGCCTAGCAACTTGGACCATTGACCCGGGGGGGGGGGGGGGGGGAGGGGGGGGGAGTTCATAGCGGCAGGCCCCAGAAAATAGAAGTCGATGAGAAAACACAGCCGACGCTTGTGGGAAATGCAAGTGCGGATCCGCACAGGTGAAGCAAGGCGGCGGCGGAGGCGGCGGGCGGGTTCGCAGCCTCACGGGACATGGGATGGGATGGGGGGGGGGTGGGGATTCAAATGTCTCGGCTCTTGGCGTTGGCAAGCTGGGTTTTACTCTTTCGGACGTAGGCCCGGTTCGGGTTCCGCGCGAAGGAATTCCTTTTGAGTCCACACAGAAATGGCAACTGCTCTTCGGAACGATTTTGGAACGATTTTTGATGTTTGTCGGAATTGAGGGTGGAAAGAGTGATTCCGATCAGTTTGGGGGCGAGTGGTTACATAAGGGAACTAGGTCAGGTAGTTTCATGCAGTTCGGTACGAATACAGTTACGTGCAGGGCTGAAGACATATTTTGGGACCTATTTCGTCTCAAGTGTCAGAAGGGTTGGCATTGAGTAGGTAGGTATGTTGATCCATGGCTATTGACACGATACATACGATTGGCAAAAACTTTGATAGATGGTTGTTACCTGATCTCTTTGCGGTCCCGCGTTCAGCTGGATAAACTCTATACAGATAGGCCGGGGTATACAAGAATAAGAGACAGAGGCAAAGACAATGAACGAGCTCCGTGTAGCCGTGTTGTGAAACTGCCATCAGGCCGAAGTGACTGAGAAGAGCTCACCCCACAAAATCCCCAACAGCAAGCACTGTGGCACTGAAGCAGAGCGCTTCGGCCAAGAGGGTTCGTTGCTGTCGAATGATGTCGGGGACAAGGAAGCAGAAAGGAAGCGCGGCAGGGGGATTCGGGTCGGGGGCGCGGCAGGAATTCGATGGAGGGGCAATGAATGGGAAAGGGGGGCGTGTCTTCAGTATCGGGGGATGTCGATATATCACTCTGCAAACGCCGTGAATTCCCCATCTCACTTGTCCTGGGACCCCTTTGCGGGCTTAGCTAACTAAGGTACTCTGACAATTCCAGATCCACCTTTTGGGTTTCTTCGGTGCGGGGGATCTCTAAGCAAAAGGGTCGTTCGCTGGCTTTTGCACCGAGAAATGAGGCCCGGGGAATAGGCAGTAAAGACACCCCGAGAGAGAGGAGTTTCAGTCTTTCAAACCTCAAAAGCTCGTGGTAATTAAGTACCGTAGTCTTCTCCCGAGCAAGATTTGGTATTTCGAGCCCCGTTATCTCGTCCACAACATTGCTTAACGCCGCATAACGGAGCTACCCTGCCCCCCTTAGAGGTGTAGGAGTTAAGATGCCGCGGATGATCGAAGCCAAGACACCGTGAAAAAAAACTTGGAGATGTACATGGGTGGTGGGTCGGGGGGTTAGGTATGCCGTGTCCGCCCCAGTCTCTATGTACAAAGAGCCCGGTATGGAGAACTCCAAAGAAAAAGGTAATCTCAATCTTACCGGTAACCTTCAAGGTGGCAGGTCGGGGGCCCGGGGCCCCAACATTTCACGGCCAGCCACCGAGTAGACGTAAGGTACGGAGTACACTGTAAAGAACGCGTGCGTGTGTCGTCAAGGTAGGAATGAAAAGGTGGGGTGGAGGGGAAGGGTGCCAGTTAATGCCAGGCGAAAGTTCTGGGGCACCCAACGACGAAGTCGAAGTGTGAGGAACTGTGTTTCGTCCCATACTGCTTATTCTCATACTGCGTATGCCGGGTTGGAACGGGACCGTCATTCTGACTCGATTGTCACGGAATGGTTTGGGTATCACAGTATGTTGGGGGGTGTAGTTGAAGTTGCTGACTGCAGGCCGCTCGGAAGCATCTGAAAACACGCCGCGGCGAACTTCCGCCCATCCATCCAGAGCTCACAACTGGGAGCAAACAAATGTAACGGCATCCAATAGCCCAATAGCTAACCGTCTGATCATCTTGTCGAGGGTAGCTTAATGCCGAAAGAATCCGGAGTTATAGCAGTTAGACTTTTTGATTCGGCATTTCTAAGCGTACTATGGCTACAACAACACATTGGTCCCGAGCTGGAATTCCGATGTGTTTGATAGCTGTTCAGCTACAGTAGCACAGTTACAAGGTAGCACGGTAGTTGGCAGGGATCGGCGAGGAGTAGCAGCAGCGCAGAGCCCGTCTGTTCCCTAGGCGATGCCATTTGTCATAGTATCCTAAGCAGATATAGCACCTAAATCTCAGCACCAGGATCAACAGCTGTGGAAGAAGGAGAGAGAGAGAGAGAGAGAGAGATGGTGTTTGGTGTGTGTGATGAAGCGCTTTGAAGCGGGTGTGGCTGCTGCATCCAGACAAGACCAGCAATTTGAAATGTTCTGATTGGTTCGTTGCCCAATGGAAGACGCAACTTGTGATGGAGAAAATGCGGGGTCGACAAACTGCAAGAGAGGGGAAGCGGAGAGAGGGGTCGTTTGTAGCTCTGGGGCGTGGCAACCTTTCATGGATAATCATCTCAAGAACAAGAACAAGAGCAAACAAGCATGGCAGACATTTACAGTACAGAGAGAAGAAGAGAGAAAACAAAAGCCAGCAACTGACACATTGTAAAGCACCACTCACCTCAAAGTCATCTACTCCAATATCACCACGACAGTTTCGCGATTCTTCTTCCTAACCTGGGGCCCCGGGGAATGGGAACGCGGAACTCAATTCCCACCGAACGGAACCCACAGTGACACACCCCCCCTTGGGTGACATTCTGGTAAACTTGGGCCGAGTCAAACAGGCATCACCTAGTGGCAGTCTTGATCTACCAGTACACTACTCTCTTGACTCCTAGTGAAGACCTGCTGTCAGCCAGCACAGCACAGCAACGCACCGGTGGATAGCGTATTGCTCGCCCGGCGTAAAGGGGACGAAAGAAACTCGCCTTGAGGTGGCCGAGAGGAAAGCAAAGGATAGGAAAGGAAACGAAAGCCAGGCGTTGGCCCGAAGCGGCACCCACCATTCCCCGTTTACCTTAGCTTGGGGCCCCATCTTGCATCCATCCCTTGCAACTTGCTGCCCCTCCATTTCTCCCCTTCTCCCCTCCAACACTACTAGCTACTAAGAGTTGGATTATGAAAGTCCACCCTAGCTTGTCAATATCTGGTGTAGGTACACTACCCCCCCCAACCCCCGTCCATTGACAACATGCAGATGCGTGTCTGGCTCCTCAATGTGGAGATATCGAGTCCAGTCCAGTCCACCGAATGACCGTGTTTGACGTTGCTCCGGCCCATGGGGGGATTCCCTCACGTTCCCTTTCATCCAATGCCCATCCAATCTGCGGTTCCGGTACCAAGTACGGATAGACCAGGCCTCGGTTTTAGTGTTAGGTTACTATCTTGCAGACACTCCAGACTCCCCTTCCCCTCATCCTTACGCAGTACCCTCCTCTGAGTCTGGAGTCTTCCCCTCCATCCGTACACCCTCCTGCCCTCCGGGCCCCACCGCCGTCGAGCAAGGTATCGCCTTCGCCTCCTTGACCCTTCACACTCCAGTCTCTAGGTCTCTGACATTTCGTCCCTTCCACTGCCTTTGCGCCGCGCGGTATACCGTATCACTTTCGGACTTCTCTCCCCCAGCTCTGCTTTGCTCTGCTCTGTGCCCCCCGGACCCCGCTTTATATACAGTCTGCGATCCCCAGCTCCTTCTCTCCAGTTTCTTCCCTTCCTCTCTCACTTCTCACTACTCTCAACTCACAATACCATCCCAATCCAAACTTTTTCTTCTTTCTTCCGTGATACCAAATACCCCTCCACGTTTCGTACTTGTTTTCCACAAAAATCACATACAATGGGTTTGTCCGTTGAGCTCAAGACCCCGGTGACGGGCGCCTACACCCAACCTACCGGACTGTGCGTATTCTCTACCCCTCAATTCTTATCCAGCCGCCGCTTATCCTGCGAGCCATGACGACTTCGATAGCAACACAAAAAGCTAACATATTGTGCTCCTCTCTAGTTTCATCAACAACGAGTGGGTTGAAGGTGTTGACAAGCAGACTTTCGAGGTCATCAACCCCTCCACCGAGGAGGTCATCACCTCCGTTCACGAGGCCACCGAGAAGGATGTCGACATCGCCGTCGCCGCCGCCCGCAAGGCCTTTGAGGGCGAGTGGAGAAAGGTTCCTCCCAGCCAGCGTGGTTACCTCCTGAACAAGCTCGCCGATATTGCCGAGAAGAACACCGACCTCCTGGCCGCCGTCGAGTCTCTAGACAACGGAAAGTCCATCTCCATGGCCAAGGGCGACGTCGGTGCCGTCGTTGGCTGCTTGAGATACTACGGAGGTTGGGCCGACAAGATCGAGGGCAAGACCATTGATGTTGCCCACGACATGTTCCACTACACCCGCTCCGAGCCTGTAAGTCACAGCTATTTCTTGAGCACAACATGGAACCGTGAGCTAACAAATTGCCCCTCTTCAGATCGGTGTCTGCGCCCAGGTCATCCCCTGGAACTTCCCCCTCCTCATGCTTTCCTGGAAGATCGCCCCCGCCCTGGCGACTGGTAACACCATCGTCATGAAGACCGCCGAGCAGACCCCTCTGTCCGCCCTCGTCTTCGCCCAGTTCATCAAGGAGGCCGGCTTCCCCCCCGGTGTCTTCAACCTCATCAACGGCTTCGGCAAGATCGCCGGCGCCGCCCTCTCCTCCCACATGGACGTCGACAAGATCGCCTTCACCGGCTCCACCCTCGTCGGCCGCCAGATCATGAAGGCCGCCGCCAGCTCCAACCTCAAGAAGGTCACCCTCGAGCTCGGCGGAAAGTCCCCCAACATCGTCTTCAACGACGCCGACATTGAGCAAGCCATCTCCTGGGTCAACTTTGGCATCTACTACAACCACGGCCAGTGCTGCTGCGCCGGCACCCGCATCTTCGTCCAGGAGGGCGTCTACGACAAGTTCCTCGCCGCCTTCAAGGCCCGGGCCGAGCAGAACAAGGTCGGCGACCCTTTCCACCCGGAGACCTTCCAGGGCCCCCAGGTCTCCCAGCTGCAGTTCGACCGCATCATGGGCTACATCAAGGCCGGCAAGGACGAGGGCGCCACCGTCGAGACGGGTGGCGAGCGCCACGGCGACAAGGGCTACTTCATCCAGCCCACCATCTTCAGCAACGTCCGCCCGGACATGAAGATCATGCAGGAGGAGATTTTCGGCCCCGTCTGCGCCATTGCCAAGTTCAAGGACGAGGAGGAGGTCATCAAGCTCGGAAACGACACCACCTACGGCCTCGCCGCCGCCGTCCACACCACCGACCTCAACACCGCCATCCGCGTCAGTAACGCCATCAAGGCCGGCACCGTCTGGGTCAACTGCTACAACATGCTCTCCTACCAGGTGCCCTTCGGTGGCTTCAAGGAGTCCGGTATCGGCAGAGAGCTCGGCGAGGCTGCTCTTGCAAACTACACCCAGAACAAGTCCGTCGCGATCCGTCTGGGCGGAGCGTTGTTCTAAGCGTGGAAGGCTTGGTTGGAAAGGTAATGAAAACTGGGGCTTATTCTGGCGCAAATGTGTACATGACCTTGATGTAACTTTTTTTCTCGTTTCAAATATCACGTTGAATGATACCAATAACACAAAAACAATCAAATTTCTCTGTCCCATATGAACGATGTGAATGCGATGAATGGTCCGGCCTGGTCCAATTTTGACGGCCGGAACGGAAACGGCCTGAATACGGCAATATGATCCACTTCTCCGATGCACTGCCGGCTGGCATCCCAGACGTATCATTTATCCTCCAGTACCCAAACGGCCCGCGAGCATTCACGCCCTATCACACTCTGGTGCTTTGGGCCCAATTTCCAAGTTCTTGTAAGTGTATACGGCGTTGCTCATCGTGTGCCAGGTAGTACCTTGCTATCCCTGACAAACAGCACTTATTCTGATTGCGCATCTCTGGAAGAACCCACGAATGGTGTCGCTATATCCTCACTTAAAGTCCTACGCCACCAGTGATTCGATCTGAGTCTCCAGCGTGACATGTTCACAAGACCCCTGCAACCTTCAGCCGACACAAAACAGCCTCATTCCGATCAACCGGGCTCCCAGGCCCACAAACCACTGTAAAATTATGCCAATCCCTCGTCTCATCGACATCTAACCCCTCCACAGCCTCATACCTCTGCACCATCCTCGCAATCACGTACCCGGCCTCCGTCAGCGCAAGCTGCTGCCCGATACAAATCCTCGGCCCGCCGTTGAACGGCACGAAATGCCACGCTGCGCCCGCGGAACCCCTCTTCTTCTCCCATCTCTCGGGAACAAACTCATCTGCGTCCTCGCCCCAGAGATCTCGCCGCCGATGGAGCACGTGCGTGCTGAAATTGATTTCCATCCCTGCGGGCACGAATATCGGGTCGGTGCCGGCGGGACCGCCGCCGGTAGGGAGGGTGGTGTCACGGAGGGCGCGGCGCGAGTTGAAGGGGACTACGGAGTGTAGGCGGAGGGTCTCGGAGAGTATGGCTTGTAGGTAGGCGCACTGCTTCAGGGACGCGAAGGTCATTGCCTCCGAAGGATCCGTTGAAGAAGAGTAGGGTCCAAAGGTTGAGGTGATTTCTGCGCGGAGCTTGGTGAACACGCGCGGGTTGCGGACGAGGCAGTACCACACCCAGCTCATCAGCGAGGCGGTGGTATCCCGGCCGGCGGCGAGTAAACCCAGCACCTGCTCGCGGACTTCTTCATCCCCACCCCCGCCGGCGCAGCGTTCGCGGAGTACATCTAGGAAATCGTAGCGCGCGAGGGAGGATCCCTGAGCTTTCGCCGCGTCTGAGGCGGCGATGGCGGCGTCGACGAATTCGTGGAGCGTCGCTACGCAACAGCGCAGGTCTTTGTTCCCGTAGACCCAGTAGAAACTTCGGAGACGCATGCGCTTGCCGAGCACGGCGAGGAGCTTTTCAAAGGCGTGGTTGAAGGCTGCGCCTGGGTGGGAGTGGTCGTTGTGAAGGCGGGCGGAGAGGGTGGATGTGCTTTGGCCTAAGAAGAGCTCTGTTGCGGAGTCGAGGGTGAGGCATGGGAATAGGGAGGCGAGGCTCACGGGGTCGGACCATGTTCCATCCGCGGCGTTCATGTTGTTGGTGGCGGAGGTGGTGGTTGAGGTGGTGGTTGTTCTCTCCTTTTCGATACAGAGAAACAGCGTCTGGACATGCGCCTCGAGCAGATCCAGCCTGGAGACGTTATCGCGGCTGAAGAGGGGCCTCATCATCTCCCGCGCAGAGCGCCACGCCGATCCGTCAGCCGCGAAGATGCTTCGGCCCAGGACGGTCTTGAGGTTCGTGCTGCGGGCGAGGCCCATGCCGAAGTCGTGAAATTGCGTGGCAAGGAGGGCTTGGATGTTGCGCGGGTCGGCTGTGACGAGGTTTGTTGTGCCGAGGAGGGACATGCGGAAGGTGTAGACGCCGCTGTTGGTATTGGTGTTGTTGCCCTGACCATTGAGACGGAGGGCCGCGAAGCGCGCGGCGACGTGGTCCGGCGTGCGCTGTTCGCGGTCGGCGCGGAGGGAGGCGAGGACGATGTCGAGGCCGAGCGGCCATTTTGAGGGTTCGAGGAGCGCTAGGCGGCAGGAGAGGGTGCAGGCGCGTCTGGCGTGGGAGATGTTACGGTGGAGGGTGAGGAGGAGCTGGAGGATGAGGAGGAGGAGGATGGAGGTGAGGGTATAGAGCGGGATGTTGTGAAGAGCATGATGTTGTATGAGACTTGGGAACTGGAACATGGTGGTGAGGGGAAAGGCTTGCGATGCCATGTTGCGTCGGGTTTCCCTTGTCTTTGGTGTTTGTTAGATACGACTTTAGTTGGGAGACGCACAATTGGTCTCTTGAAGGCACGAGGAGTCAAATCGCCATCATCATCATCACCATCCCCAGGCTTCAGCTTCACGATGGTTGCTAGCCTTCCTAAAGAAAGGTGTACCGCGAACCCAATCAACGTTCCGCGTCTACGCACTTATTGGTCCATCAGTCAATGTCACTCAACGTCACTGATTTGGATCGACCCTCAGTCAACGTGCTCTAGAGAATGCTAGGCATTGGTCCGAAAGCTTGTGCCGGTGGAAACGACATGGGAATCTAATAAAAGGGTTCATCGCGAGGTGGGAGACGTCCCTGATCCGATGACAGGGGACTTTGCAGACGGGCACAAACGGGGGGATGTCACATGGGTACCCCCTGGATGCGGCCCGCTGACTCGGACGTCAACCGTTCTGCTGGTAATTGACAGCTTGGGGGGGTCGATACAACCGAGTTGTTGACTCACTTTTACGGAGATGATTTCGGTCAATCATTTGTGATGTGTTTGAAAGAGGACTTTGTCGTTGTGGTAACATGATGGGCGCTGGTTCTGGCTAACGTTAGAGTGAAGATTGTTGCAGTAGGCTCAGAACGAAGTGCATGGAGATGGATGCTGAAAGAGTCACATCAATGATGAATGTTCGATGATGGAAAGGTAATCGTCTTTGAGTAAAATGTCTGTATAATCGGACGCTACAGTCTACAACAGCCTTCTCATGATTCTGTAAGTCTAGGCGACTCTCAAGCGGCTTTACATATGCTCAAGAAAACCTTCAAGCAAATATTCTTGGGCGTAACTTAATCATCAAAGGAACCTTCTCCCACATGATGTACGTTCCTTGCTTGCTCCACCAATCTTCAGCAGGATTCTCAAGTTCAAAATCGAAATTCCAAATCGTCTTTGCCATGGTCAGGCTCATCTCGGCGTACGCCATTCTGCGAGTGAGAGATTGTCAGTATTCAACTCTTGATTTTCGTGACATATCTCCTTTTGGGAGGGGGAAACTCACGCTCTTCCAATACAAATATGTTGTCCATATGAGAACGGCTGGACTGCCGCCCGATCATCGCCGGCGAACTCGGACTCGGGGCCCAGCCCAAGCCATCTCTCAGGGATAAACTCTTGAGGCCGGCTGAAATTGTGCTCAGAGTGTCCCGCCGCAAACTGGTTCACCGCGACGGCGTAGCCGCCAGGAACCCATTTGCCATCAATGACCTCGCCCTCCCCCGGGACCCATCGGGGCAAGGAGCCGGGCGTGGGAGGGTACAACCGCATGCCCTCGTCGATACACGCGCGAAGGTACCTGCAGTTCTGCGCAGCAATCATCGTGATATCCTTTTGCGTGTTAAACTTGCCGCGAATCTCCGCCTGTACCTTTTCGAGCTTCTCCGGATTGTGTAACAGCAGGTACGTGAGGCCAGACATTCCGCCGGCGGTGGTACCGCTACCGGCGACGATGAAGGTGCCCGCCAGCATCGTCAATTCGATATTGGTGAGCTTATTCCCCTCCTCCGGATCATCGAGGATGTAGGACATGAAGTCCTTGCCCGGGTTCTTGGCCTCGATGCGCTGTCGGACTTTGGCCTCCGTCATGGCGATGTGCTTGCGGCGGGACTCGGTCACGCGGCGCGGCGCGATCCAGGTGAGGAGGTCGAAAACGCCGTATTGTACTGTCAGCTGGATCCAGACGTAGGCTTTTGCACGCGTGTTGATGAGGCGGAGCCAGGGCTGGTCGGCGTTGTTGAGGCAGTTCTCGGAAGTGCCAAAGGCGAGGTCTGGGTGGACAGGCTGTTAGATGAGAGACAGGCTGACCTCTACGAAACTAGGCCACTCACCATTGAGAATGTCGAAAGCAAGAAGATTAAACCAGGTTGAAATGTCTACCGCACCCTCTTTGCAAGCCCTCTTGAGTTGACTCACGAGAGTATCCGTATAATTCTGAAAATAATACTCCTGCTCACGCAACGCGCGCTCAGAAAAGGCCGGATTAATAGCACGCCTAAGCTTCGCGTGTCCCGCCTGGTCTTCCGTCATCAGCGTCTTCCGGCCCCCCATGGTCGGCGGTGCGATGCCGCGGCCGTCGAGAGCTTTGGGAAACTCGCTGGGCGTGCGCTGTCCGTAAATCTTCTTCCAGGCCGTGGAGCTCGTGTAAGAGAGCTCGTCGGGCGCGATGCGGACGACGGGGCCGTACTGGTCGTGGAGCTCGCGAATGCGCCAGGTAATGCGACCCTTCATGTTGACGTAGTTCCATGGCAGGCGGGAGATGGCCCAGAGCTTGGGGCCTGGGTAGTGACGTAGCGGGCTGAGGTAGAGGTAGTAGAAGCTTCTGCAGAAGATGTATGTCGCGATCTAAAAAGATGGTGAGATTTCGTTCTGAGAGATTTGTTGGGCAATGGACTTACTAAACAGAGAGAGGTTATAGCAGTATTGAATGCCGAGAGAGCTGGCAACCTGCTCAGGTGAGCTTGAACCTGCTCAGGCAGGTGGACTGTGATCATCGTGATGATTACGATTTCCTCAACTTGACCACAGTGTCAGCACTTGTTCGAGCCAGCTTGTCTGCATCGCCGTTGACATCAGAAAGCATCTCGAATCTTGACCCTCAAGCTTGGCCTCTTCAGTCACAGCTATGGTGGAGAGCTGCTCGGAGCACGTTCCGCAGCAATGTGAACATGACGAAGCTCCGCCCATGGGATGGGTCTGGGTCTCCTGAGATGAAATGCATCGCCGAGCCAAGCCTGCCAATGAAAGCCAAATATCGAGGCACGTTCTTACAGACCCGCAAATAATCATCGTGGGACCCATACTGGAGAGGAACGCGATAAGAAGGTCGCTGCGGTTTCTGAAAACTCGAATCATGCTGAGCGGGCCACGACACCAGGGAGTCCCGGACTGCCATCTCCAAACCCCTGCACTCCGGGCCGGGCTGCTCAATGAATGCCGAATCTGGCGTCCAGGAACGGAATCTTTCGAGAAATCCCCTGGCTTACTTAGCTGCAGACTAGAACTTTGTTTTCCGAGACATCCTGGAGCCGGCTCCAGGAAGGAGCACGAGTCAATGCTTGTTTAGAAAACAAGCTCATTACCCCGGTCTTGGCCGTTGAGTCTAGGACCTCGAAGTTCGAGGGGGTGGGTTCATGTAGACTTGAGGAGTCCAACGGGTTTCATTCACAGCACGTGGGAACGGTCTGCCAATGAGAAATTCTTCACCTTGAATCTCTTGCTCCCGGGTGGCAGGAAAAGTGCACCTCAATTGCGCCCGTAGTTTGAAATTCGGCATCACTGTTTCCTTGGACCTTTGAATTGGCGAGTGGGGATGCTGGGGACATGGCGGAGTTGACCCGACGGTTCCATACCTTCCCACTAGAGAAAGGATGATGCTTTACTCAATGTGTGATGTGTCCGAAACCGGCTTCCTAGTCAAGTTCAGATACTCTGACGGACAGTTGCTATCAAGTTTGGCAAAGTCTCTAATCTCTTGGCAGCCTGGCGACGACTTCACGTCAGGAATCAAAACACCGGCACAATGACGAGAAGAACGAGCCCCGAGACCATCCGGAAAGAACTGGAGCCTAGACTCTCGGCCGGAGCTTGCATTCACCTCACCGAATCCGAAGAGTTTGGGAAATCAAATCTGCGATTTACAGACTATGAGCGTCCGGTAAGGCCTTAGCAAGCTTTTACCACAATGCTCACGCTGACTGCGGGTTGCCACAGACGTATCTTGCGGCTGTTGAGCCGACGTGCGAAGAGGATGTGATTCAGGTCATGAAATACGCCCGAGAAAGGGGCATTCCGTTTGCGCCCCGGTCAGGGCACCATGCTGTCACTACAACGATGCGGCATCTAAGAGACGGAGTCCTCATTGACATGCGTCCGCTGAACAAGTTGGAATTTGACGCCGATGAGAGACAAGTAACCGTCGGCGGAGGCGTCATAACGGACAACTTTGTCAAGTATCTTGAGTCGGTTGGGATGGAAGTTAGTAAGTACTTAGTCGATGCTGAGTATCGGATCTCCAAGATGGCATGCTGATATAGTGGCAGACGTTGGATCCTGCCCGACTACGGGTGTCATAGGTGTGGCATTCGGAGCCGGTCTCGGCCGTCTACAAGGCAAATATGGCTTCTTGCACGATAATATGGTGTCTTGTAAGATGGTACTCGCCGACGGTAGTGTCGTTCTGGTATCCAAAGACTCGAATCCCGAACTATTCTGGGCTATTCGTGGAGCCGGGCACAACTTTGGCATCGCGGTAGAGGCTACGTTCCGCGTATATCCACAGGCAAACAAGGGCATCCACTACACTTGGGACCTGGAGTATACTGTTGAGCAGTGTGACTCAGTTTTTGAGACTCTCAACAACGTCCATGAAGTCATGCCAGCCAATCTGGCCATCTTCGTGCTGTGGGTTCGCCAGAGTGAAGGTGGAAGGAAGGTGAAGAGTCACCAAGCCATCTAACACACGGGCACTCAAGGCTAACATGTCTTTACAGCATCACATACTCGTCAATCTTGTTTGGTCTGGCCCCGAAGCCGAGGCAGACACCTGGATCAAACAGTTCGAAGACCTGAAGCCCGTTATTGACAGCGGAAAGGTAACAACAACCTGGGCTGACCTCCCGTGGAAAACATACAAGGGCATGAACAACGTTCTCAGCAAGCCAGAGGTCTGGTCCAAAGCGCCTTACAAAATGATGGGGGCTGCTTGCGTGGAGGAGTTTGACCTCAAGACCACCCGGGCATTCTTTGAGAGTGTCAGGTCCATGAACGAAGAATGGGCGGGCAAGGGCTTCTTCGGAGCCATGTTTGAATGCTTGCCCCACCAAAAAGTGCGAGAGCTACCGAGCGAAGCAACGGCGTTCCCTTGGCGCTGGGGATCAAACCATTTCTTGTGAGTTGATGCTAACATGATGTTATCGCTTTATATTGCGAGAAGAAGTGCTGACTTGCATGATCAGAATGCTCATGGCGACGCCTCTGAAGCTTGAGTTCAGAGAAAGGTTCGAGGAGCACCTTGACCGGTGGAAGAAGGAGTTCATCGCAACATCGGGTTATGGTCGACTGCAGCAGTACGTCAACTATGGCAACACAACATCTTCGATGAGAGATCCCCCAGAAGCTTTGTATGGGTACGAGCCGTGGAGGCTAAAGAAGCTGCGCGCGCTGAAGCATCGTTACGATCCTAAGAATGTATTTTGCTGGTATCAACCATTGGTAGAACCCGAGGCTCCAGATGTTGCAAATGCCATTTGACCATTTGTTATGGTTCTCAAAGTCCTAGGTGGACCCATCCAATCAGAAAGGCTTTAAGGCTTTGAATCTTTGCATAGGTAAAATCTAGACTTTGATGTACATTGCAAAAGCTACTTGGGAACGAAGAGCAAATATCCGTACTTCGAAGGTCATCTACATGCTCCGCCATTGGAGCCGGGGCAAGTTCGCAATCGGCCGAAATCATTCATATTCTCCAAACGCCTCGGGGATAGGCCTGGATCACTCCCCGCGTCTACTTCATACGAAAATCGGCCGGCAATACGCGCCATGAATCCCTTATGGCGATGCCGGCGGCAACTCGTCTAGACAAAATCCTCTTTACAAGGGCGAACAAAAGAACCCACGTGCTGCAAGATGTATTGTAAACACTCAACTATAATAGCATGGATATGATTATCCGCCAATCGTTCCGGGCTTCAGGTCTGCTAGGGTATCCTGAGACCCGAGTCAGCGGCACCGCAAGTGCTCCGCAACATAATATCTGAGGTGAGACCCATTCATCAGGGACCCATTACAGCTGCTCCCTTGGTGAAAGGAGACGGTTTATGTTGAGCCCACAAATCCCCCGGATTCTACCCGTACTTGGCAGGACCCTTGGTGATCGGGATGTGGAAACGCCCCGGCTAGAGCGTGCAGAATCATCTCTTCTTTGCTGTCGGGCCATCACCGCTCTTGTGCAGTCCCGCTGCGCCCAATATCGGAGGACAGCAGGCCGGCAACGTGGCTGTAGAATATGATGGTATTGGGCAACTTGTATTATTTGGATGGGGTCGTTCGGACTCTGGTCGAGGCAGGTATCTTTGCCCTTATCTAATGACATGGATGGACCTCACCATGAGGCATTGCTATTGTGAAAGGACATGCGTGAAACTCCGATGGAAATCGTTCGAGGCAGACATATGAGACCTTGACCTCTTGCTGTTTTTCTTCGTTTGCTCTTCACTGACACTCTCGTCCTGCCCAAACCCTTCCACGACTATAACAAGATACCCAAGCGCTATACTCATTAGTAATTCTCCTTTGATTGTACCCTATTACACAACATGCCGTTCATCGACGAGCCCACCCGTGCTGAAAGCACGGATCAGCCAATTGCCATCATCGGTATTGGCTTGAGAGCCCCCGGCGATGCCTCTGATCCAGAGAAGTTCTGGCAGATGCTCTTGGACGCTCGCTCTGCACGGTCCGAGATTCCCAAAGATCGCTACAACGTTGATGGCTTTTACCATCCTGACCCTGAAAGGCTGGGAAGTATCCAGCCCAGGTAAGCCCAGCTTCCTTAGCAATCCTTAAGACGTCCCATCTCATCGTTCTTTTTAGGCATGCGCACTTCTTGAAACAAGACTTCAAGGTGTTTGACGCGCCATTCTTCTCTGTCACACCCAAGGAGGCCAAGGCCATGGATCCGACGCACCGGATGCTCCTTGAAGCAACTTACGAGGGCTTTGAGAATGGTAAGTTGATGACAGTCTAGCGAATGTGAACGCATAGCTTGTTTACTAATTGTGTGTTAGCTGGTCTGAGACTGGAAGACGTCTCGGGAACTCAAACATCATGCTACATTGGCACCTTTACGGGAGACTTCCCCAACCTCCAAGCCCGTGACAATGAAGGGCCTTCCATCTATCGTAAGTTTCAACTTCTCTGGTATTCATATTAAAATATCACCATTCTAATATGTCCTGGAAGATGCTACCGGTCTTTCTTCCTCCCTTGCATCAAATCGACTTTCGTGGTTCTACAACCTTAGAGGCCCCTCTATGACGATAGACACCGCATGCTCATCTAGTCTGACGGCTTTCCACCTGGCTTGCCAAAGTATTCGCACTGGAGAGGCAGAGATGGTAAGCAGAAAATAAGCACACGGCATAGATCCTTCGACGAGCGAGGAGATCGCTGACACAAAGCCTAGTCCGTTGTCGCTGGCGCAAATCTCATGTTCGGCCCAGATATGTCAATTCTACTCGGTGCCGCGAAGATTCTCTCTCCCGAGGGAAAGTCCAAGATGTGGGACGCGAATGCCAACGGATTCTCTCGCGGTGAAGGGTTTGGTGTCACAATTCTTAAGCCCTTGGATGCCGCTCTTCGCGACGGCGATACCATCCGTGCTGTTGTGCTGGCCTCAGCAGCGAATGAGGATGGCAGAACCCCTGGTATCTCGCTGCCGAACAGTGAAGCTCAGCAGGAACTCATTCGCACTGCGTACCGTAAAGCTGGAGTTGATCCCGCAGAGACTGGCTACGTTGAGGCACACGGCACAGGAACGCAAGCTGGCGATCCCCTGGAAGCCCGCGCTATTCTCAAGACGATAGGAGACCAGCCCAGCCGCAAGTCTGAGCTTTACGTCGGCTCGGTAAAGAGTATGTTCTGCTCCGTTGAATGTTTCTTTTCAACATTTACTGATAAAATTGTGCAGCAAACATCGGTCATTTGGAAGGTGCTGCTGGCGTCGCTGGCGTCATTAAGGCTGCCTTGGCCGTCGAAAGGGGTCTGATTCCCCAGAACTTGTGGTATGTTCTCCCTTCACGAAGGTCTCCAATCAGTGGTCTGACTGATTTATTTCTCTACAGGTTCGAAGAACTCAACCCTCAGATTGAGCTACCAGATGACGTCAAGATTCCCACAACTCTCACTGTGTGGCCTCATAGCGGCCCACGACGTGCTAGCATCAACTCCTTTGGCTTTGGAGGAGCCAACGCCCATGTCATTCTTGAAGATGCCGCCTCCTATCTTCTCCGCCATGGTTTCTCAGGACGCCATGCGACAGTTCTCAAGCCAAAGCTACTTCAATCTCCTTCAAGCAATGCCAGCGACATCAGCTCTGAAACTGAGACGACTAGCAGCATCATTGCGGAAGAGCCCAGCTCGAAGCTGTTCGTGCTTTCTGCGAACGATCAAGAGGGAGTCAAGCGCAACGTCGGAAGGATGATTGGCTACCTTGCCACCAAGATCTCTGGCCAACCGCTCTCAATGACCGACCTTGCCTTCACTCTCTCTTCAAAACGGACAACTTTGCCCTGGAAGTCTTTCGCCATTGCTTCTGACATCAACAGCCTTTACCAGAGCCTCGAGACTGTCCACGCTGTAGTTCGATCGTCCAACTCGTCTGTGCCGGGTGTCGCCTTCGTGTTCACTGGTCAAGGAGCCCAGTACTTCAAGATGGGCAAGGGTCTCTCCGTGTACAAGGCTTTCAGAGACAGCATGCTGCGCTCTGAGACGATCCTCAAGTCTCTTGGCTGCACATGGACCTTGACCGAAGAACTCGATCGCCCCGAAGCCGAGTGCAACCTACGCCGGACGGATTACAGCCAGCCAGCTTGCACTGCTTTGCAAGTCGCGCTCGTTGACCTTGCCAAGGAATGGGGTGTTAAGCCAGTCGCTGTTATCGGTCACTCTAGTGGAGAGATCGGAGCCGCCTATTGTGCAGGCTTCATCGATCACGAGGCCGCGGTGAAGATTGCATGGCTGAGAGGTCAGGTCTCCCAGACTGTTTCCAAGAACGCCGGCATGTTGGCGGTAGCTGCAAGCGCCGAGAGCGTCAGCGAGCACCTTCAATCCCTCAAGCTTGGAAAGGCCATCGTCGGCTGCATCAATAGTCCCAAGGCTTGCACGATCTCTGGAGATGATGTTGCTATTGGCGAGTTGCAGGGGATTCTCGAGGAAGCGCAGATTCCATGCACTCGCTTGCCAATGGATGTGGCCTATCATTCTTTCCACATGGAAGCCGCGCGGGAGAGATACGAGGCTGCTCTGGCTGGCATTGCTCACCGGTCTTCTGACATCCCCATGTTCTCTTCTGTGACTGGAAAGCTTGTCACTTCCGAGCAAATGACTCCTTCTTACTGGGTGGATAACTTGGTTTCTCCCGTCAACTTCGTGGGCGCCGTTCGTTCTCTCTTGCACCACACGCATGGCAAAGCCCGATCTCACGACAGATCTGCATTTGCCAGTGTTTTTGTCGAGTTGGGCCCCCACTCAGCTCTGCGAAGCTACCTGCTCGACACATTCTCTACCGAGGACAAATTTTCAGACCTATCCTACACCACGATACTACGACGTAAGTTCGATGGGGCTCAGACTGCCCTGGAAGCTATGGGACAGCTGTGGACCAAGGGGTGTGATGTTGACATCAACCGTGTCAACGAAGTCACATCTGACACCAACATGCTTGTGGACCTGCCCCCGTACGCATGGAACCACAAGCTTTCCTTTTGGGACGAGTCCTACCTCAGTCGCGAGTACAGACTCAGAGAGAAGCCGCGTACGGATCTACTTGGGTATCGAATCCCAGGCACTCCGGATCCCACCTGGCGCAACTTCCTTCGATGCAACGAGAACCCTTGGATCCGCGAGCACAAGGTCCAGGGCGATATTCTCTATCCAGGAGCGGGTATTGTTGTTATGGCTATTGAAGCAGCCCGTCAGCTCGCGGAAGAGAACGCCACGGAGGAGGTTTATGGCTATGAACTCCGCGATGTTGCCATCGACACGGCCCTAAGAGTGCCGGACACCGACAAGGGCATCGAGGTGATGATTCAACTGCACCCTCGTCGCACTGGTACTAAGGCTGGTCCGTCTGCTACCCTCAATGAGTTTGCTGTCTCTTCTTGGTCTGAAGACATCAAGGAATGGACGATGCATGCGCGAGGACTGGTCTCTGTCACCTACAAGTCATCTCTCTCTCCGGCCATGCAACGCGAGCTGGCTCTCGAGAACGAGCGCTACGCACAAACCTTTGCGGAGGCCAAGGAGATCTGCCAGAAGCCTGCACGAAGCTTTCTTTACGATACCGTTGAGACCATCGGCATGCAGTATGGTCCGACTTTCCGCAACATGACCGAGCTTTTCGCTGGGCCCAGTGCGAGCTACGGTATCATCAGCGTCCCGGATACCAAGGCCGTCATGCCCAAGGGTTTCGAATACCCGTTCGTGGTACACCCAGCGACCCTAGACTCTGTGTTGCATCTTCTCTTCCCCTCTATCAGTGGCGATGACCAGTCTCTCAGCGAGGCAGTTGTGCCGTTCTCATTTGACAGAATCTTTGTCTCTGCCAAACTCTCAACAGTCCCTGGGACTAAGCTTCACGGATGTTCCACAGCTCAGAAGACCAGCTACACCACTTGGAAGTCCTCCATCACCATTTCCGAGGATCTCTCTGAACCCATGATTGTCATGGACGGGCTGTCTTTGGCTTCTGTCGGAGAGGGGGACGCTTCCCAAGCTCACGAGACGAGGGCCTCATGCTTCGGGCAGTCTTGGCACGAGGACTCAGACTTGCTGGAGCCCTCGCAGATCGAGGAGCTTGTGTACAAACGTACTCTCAAGAGCAGAGATGACGACTCTGTCCTCGACAAGCTTGAGTACGTCTGTCTCGTCCACATTTACCGCTGTCTCGCCTGGCTTGAAAGTGAGGAAGGCAAAGCTTTCGTGCCCCAAGATGGATTCTGGAAGTCTTATGTCGAATGGATGCACGATACTATCAAGCAGTTCCCACCTCTTGCTGCCAGCGAGACAGAAGTTGAAGCCGAGCTCGACGCAGCGCGCAAAAGAATTGTTCTGTCCGAGAGTGGCGATATCACTGTACAGATGGTTGACCGCATCGGAGAGAACCTGAGCAAGATCTTCTCCCGCGAAGTCGAGCCGTTGCAGGTCATGACCGAGGGCGATCTATTGTACTCCTTCTACCGCGGTGCCTTTGGAACTAGCTTCAACACCAACGTTGCGGAGTACGTTGGACTGGTCGCTGACAAGAGACCCGGTATCAACATCTTGGAGATTGGTGCTGGTACTGGTGGCACCACGTATCACGTCCTGAAGCGCCTCCGCAATGCCGATGGAACTTCCAAGGCGGCAAAGTACTGCTTTACAGACATCTCGCCGGGCTTCCTCGCCAAGGCAGCCGATCGCTTCTCGACCGACGCATCCATCATGGAGTTCACCACCCTCAACATCGAAAACGAGCCCACCGACCAAGGCTTCACTCCTGAGAGCTACGATCTCATTGTCTGCGCCAACGTTCTTCATGCCACCAAGAGCATCCAAGAGACCCTAGCCCACTGCAAGTCGCTCCTCAAGCCTGGTGGTCGCCTCGTGCTTTCTGAGGTTACGATCAAGCGCATTTTCAGTGGCTTCATCATGGGTCCCCTCCCTGGATGGTGGCTTGGTGAGGATGACGGCCGCAAGGGAGGGCCTCTTCTGGATGTCGAGGAGTGGAACACTGCACTGAATCTGGCCGGCTTTTCGGGCATCGACGTCGACATTCGTGGCGATCGCGAGGCTTCCAAGGAGCCTGTCTCGTTGATCATCTCGACGAAGCCAGAGAAGCAGGTGTCTGGCTCCTCTCAATTCGTCGTCGTCAGCACAGGCTCCGAGCTATCTGAGAAGCTTGCACAGTCCATCAAAGGGCAATTCGTATCCGCTAGGCAAAATGTGTCTATAGCTCAGTGGGATGAGGTCTCAGAGAGCCAGGTCGACGGAAAGTACTGTGTCTGCCTCGCTGAGTGGGAGCACCCCATCCTTGCCAATCTCACGGACGAAAATTGGGAGAAGCTGCGTCAAGTCATCCTGGGTTCCGCCGGAACTCTCTGGATCACTGGCGGTGCTGCGATGGAATGCTCTGAGCCGATGAAATCGTTGATGGTTGGTCTTTCAAGAGCCATTCGCAACGAGGACGCAGGCGTTCGGCTGGCTACCCTCGATCTGGAGACCGCCAGCAACATCAACTTCGAAGAAGCTGCCAGAAATGTCCTCAAGGTGACTCTGAGCCACAGCCGAGGCGACGGGTTTGATGGCGAATTCGCAGCTCGTGGTAGCACCGTCTACATTCCGAGAGTAGAGAGAACTCTCAACGTCGACGGCTCTCTTCGCAAGTATGAGGCCAAGGGACAACCGGACCTTGTCTCTTTCAAGGGATGCGGACGGCCTCTCAAGCTCACCATCAAGACACCTGGTCTTCTCGACACTTTTAGGTGGGAAGAAGACGAGACGTACTACCAACCCATGCCTGAGGACTGGATCGAGGTCGAGGTCAAGGCAGTGGGTCTTAACTTCAAGGATGTACTCGTGGCTTTGGGCAACCTCGCCGAGAACAAGCTCGGTGTTGATGCATCTGGAATCGTCACTCGCGTCGGCTCAGCGGTCTCGGATTTCAAGCCTGGTGACCGTGTCATGACCGCCTCTTGCGACACTTTTGCGACCTATGTCCGCTTCCCGGCGAAGGGTGCTATCGCCGTTCCTGAGAAAATGACTTTTGAGGAGGCAGCGTCGATGCCCCTCATCTTCCTCACGGCTTATTACTCCCTAGTCACCGCCGGAGGCCTAGTCAAGGATGAGAAGGTTCTGATCCATGCCGCTGCTGGAGGTGTCGGTCAAGCCGCGATCATGATCGCGCAGCGCAAGGGCGCCGAAATCTTTGCTACTGTCGGCTCGGACGAGAAGAAGCAGCTCATCATGGAGCAGTATGGAATTCCCGAGGATCACATCTTCAGCAGTCGTGACACCAGCTTCGCAAAGGCTATTATGCGGGCTACCAACGGTCAGGGTGTGGATGTTATTCTCAACTCCCTGGCTGGTGAAGCTCTTCGTTTGTCCTGGCACTGCCTCGCCAAATTCGGTCGTTTCTTGGAGATTGGCAAGGCCGACCTCTTCGCCAATACTGGTCTCGACATGAAGCCCTTCCTCGACAACAAGAGTTACATTGGCGTCAATCTCCTCGATTTCGAGAATAACCCCACTCCTCGCGCAGTCGCTCTCTGGCAAGAGACAGCCAAGCTCATCCACGATGGCTCCGTCAAGCCCATCGCGCCGATTCAGCTCTTTTCCATGGCCGAGGTTGAGAAGGCCTTCCGCCACATGCAGGCTGGCAAGCACATGGGCAAGGTGGTCGTTCGAGTAGACGAATCCGACATGGTCCCTGCCGTCCCCCGCATGCCGAGTGTGGACATCCAGGCCGACGCCACGTATGTTGTCGCCGGTGTCGGTGGCATCTGTAAGGAGATTGGACGGTGGCTTGCGGAGAAGGGTGCAAAGCATCTTGTCTTGCTCTCTCGCTCGGCCGCCAGCAGTGAGGAGAATAGGGCTTTTGCCTCTGAGCTTCAGAAGACGTATGAGGCCAACATGTACGCATATGATTGCGATGTTGGCAACAAGGCTGCCCTTCAAGGGGTGCTGGAGGACTTGAAGACAAAGGGCGTCCCTGTTGTGAAGGGATGTGTTACCGGTGCCATGGTTCTCAGAGTAAGTTCAAGCTCCCAGTTCCAGCAAAATAATGTCGTTGCTAACAACTTACATCAGGATACCCTCTTTGACAAGATGACCGCGGACCACGTCCGAACAACTGTCGGGCCCAAGGTCCACGGAACCTGGAACCTGCACGAGCTCCTCCCGCGAGATCTCGACTTCTTTGTCATGCTCAGCTCCCTCGCCGGAGTCATGGGCCACCGCGGACAGGGCAACTACGGCTGCGGAAATATCTTCCAGGACTACTTCGCGGCGTACCGCCGCAGCCTGGGCCTGCGCGCCATGACCATCGACATTGGCTACCTTCTCAGCGTAGGCTTCGTGGCCGAGCACGACGAGTACGTAGACCACGTCAAGGCCATGGGCCTCAAGGTGATGCACAAGAGCGATCTCCACGGCCTCATGGCCACGGCGCTCGAGGGCTCTCAATCGCATCCACCACAGGTTATGTGCGGACTCCCTTACAACGAGCACGACGACGCGTGGTACTGGATCCAGGACCAGCGGTTCGCTGGCCTCAGGAAGACTGCCGCGGGCTCCGGAGCGGGCGGTTCTGCCACTGTTTCTCTTCGCGAAGAGCTGGCTCGCTGTGGCAGAGCGGACGACGAGGCTGTGCACCTGATTACCTCTGCTCTGGTGCAGCGCCTGGCCAAGTTGATGATGATGCCCGAGGACGATGTTGATGCGGGCAAGCCACTGAGTGCTTATGGCGTCGACAGTCTGGTTGCTGTTGAGGTCAGGAATTGGATTGCAAAGGAGGTGGCGGTTGAGGTCAGTGTATTTGACATCATGGCCAATATTCCCATGAGGCAGCTGGCTGCGGATCTGGCTGGGAAGAGCAAAATTTTGATTCAAGAAGCGTCATAAAGTGCTTGTTGAGTTGTTTGGATCGTACGAGACGGGAGTTTGGGAGGGATTTGATTTAGCTTTGTTTGAGTAAAGACACTGTAGATCATTATCGTTCAGCGTATGTATACCCTATGATCGGCTGTAAATTCTGTTTGGAGACAAACCAAGCAGAAACACTGCTTATTGTATGAAGAGAGACGTCAACTTACAAAGTTCTTGACTGCTTTCAGACACTGCTTCCATAGTCTAGCGCTCTGGTTCTTCAAAACGTAACTCTTGACAGAATGACAGATGAAGCATAACCTACTGCTGAAACTCTTGAAGATGGATACTTCGTCAAGCAGGGCAACTCACTGGCGCATCTCAATGGTACTGGCAGCATGACCGATGGTGGTGATGTCCACTGGATCCCATGAACCACTCGATCGATACCAGAAAGATGAGGGGAATACAGCGCTGAATGTGTCTATGGCAAAGACGTGATCCACTGGCAACAGGGGCTAAGACTGACAAGCTTCAGCGAAGTTCATGACTCGCACCCTGAAGACCAGGGATCCCTCGGCGGAAACACTCTCTCTGTCTCGACAGCAGGACCTGAGCGCCTGTCACTTGTCCACGTGCTTGGAGCTGTCTGTTGATATCAATGACTGTCTTTGCTTCTTATCTCGAGGTTTTCAGGGGACGGGAGTTTGGTTTGACTGTGTTAGACTCTTAGTTGCCTCTGAAATTCAATCGTTGACTTTCCACCTTCACCAATTCTTTTCACCAGTATTCTATCGCTACCCACAACTGAAGCTTCAAACGCTAAGCTTAGCGGTTAAAGAAACGCCAATAACAATGGCGGCCCAGACGCCTCTGCCAGTGGCTTCAGTGCCTCTGTCCGCTAAAGAGATGAAGGTCCTCTCGTTGGGAATGACACGGACCGGTTCGTCCCCAAAGCGCTGTAACTCACACATGTCTCCAGAGGACTAAACAACGACGCAGGCTCTGCTTCCATCACTAAAGCTCTTGCAATCTTGGGCTACCAGGGAGTCCATCACGGCATCCAGGCTATATCTTCGCCGCGCGAATGGGCGCTATTTTCTCGCGCCGCGGACTCGGTGTTTCCCACACTCCCAACTCATAACGGCGCGCCCTTTACCCGCAAAGACTGGGAAGCCCTCTTCGGTTCCTACGAAGCAGTCACCGACATGGGCTCCTTCTTCGCCCTACAACTCATTGAGGTGTATCCAGAGGCCAAGGTCATCCTCGTTGAGCGCGACGTCGACAGCTGGTTCCACAGCATGGATGAAGCCATCTTCAAGACTACCTGGGGATTGCGCGCGAACCTGATCATTGATTTCCTGGGGCCGGCATGGGGCTTGAACGGCGGGAGGACTCTTAGGAAGATCCTGTTGGGATTCTACGGCGTCCGAAATGTCGACGAGATGAGAGAAGTCGCCAAAGACCGCTATAGGAAGCACTATGCAGAGGTCCGGGCTGCGGTCCCTAAGGACCGACTCTTGGAGTTCAAGCTGGAGGACGGTTGGGCGCCGTTGTGCGAGTTCCTGGGTAAGGACGTCCCGAACGGCGTCGATTTCCCCGTAGCGAACCAGAGAAAAGAGCACCTTGAGCGAGTGAGAACGAGACAGAATCGTTTCTTCAAGCTCGCTTTCTTTACTGGCTTGCGGAAGGTAATGCCTTGGGCATTTGGTCTTGGAGTTGTTGCAGCGGGCGTGTACTTTGCCAAGCCGACTTGGAAGCCAACTCGGTTGGGCTGGGATGAACTGAGATGGGTCTTTCAGAGAATCCTGAAAGATCTTCGACTTGGGTTAAAATAGGACAGGATCCCTTTTTTACTGTTTGGCTCTACGATTTACTTAATCTGTGTTTTGAGAGGACTGTAAGATAACGTACTCGTCTCTGTACAATGAATCCATTCAGTCACCTAGAAGGTAGATATCGCAGGAATAATGCACTTGGGCTTCCAACAAGCGGGGCGCCCTGAAGGCGTTTGCTCATGCACGTCGATCTCGCCGCACCAAATCGGATGCAGGCTCATACCAAATTCTATATAGAATCTCTATACTAGGTACTTAGGTAGGTATTTAAATCAACAAAAGCAACTTGGCGACCCCTCCGGCGCCTATACCCGAGACTAAGCCGTCACGGAGGGCGATTATCGGCAAGACTCATATAGTCCGGCCCCACTGCTTTCTCCGCCCGAGTCCGGCGTTCGGCGGTGTCCCCCGCAACACGTCAGAATCCTCCGAATGACAACATCAGCTCTAATCCGCTTCAATGCATGAGACCCCTGATCGCCATATCTTGAAGAAGTATTTTAAGGCTTGGCAAGCCCGAGGTAACGGTCACATCGCTGCGCCGTTCCTCAGCCCTACTCCTTTCCTCGGTCCCGATTCCGTATCGGATCGCTGTATTCTCTGCGCCTAGAACTTTTGCGCAAATCAAAATACTGAAGAGCTCTAGTCTTTCAAATGGAGTCCCTTCGAGAAACAGTTATCCACTGGCTCGGGAAACGACCATCCTCGAACCCAGGGATCACCTTTGGGGTGCCCTGGCGGCAAGGAATCTGCTACCACTCGAATACTGCATTCGTTTGCAAAACGGAGAGTGGGAGCGACTTTCCACTACAGACATGGCCAACAGCATTCTGGCCTGATGGATCAGTGAAATGGACAAGTCATGCAGTTCCCTCAACTGAGACAGTAGAAGAGAGCTACCGCGTTATTGCAGTTGACTCGTCGGACGCCAATATGCAATATCCGGATGCGCTCATAGTCGAGGAAGACTCCGAATTCATCTCGGTTGACACTGCGAAGATGAATATATCGTTTGCAAAGACAGGAAACGAGATCATCGAGAAAGTTGTTAATGCTAAAGGCAATACGGTTGGTGTCCAAGGCAGGTTGATTCTACTTTCCCAGGATCGTGTATGTGATCCCGATAAACCGGACTCTCTGGTGAAGCACCATAACTTCTACGGAAGCATAAGCTCGGTGGAAGTCGAGCAGACTGGTCCCATTCGCGCTGTCATTACCGCTCGCGGAGTACATATCGAAGAACCTCAAGAATCTGAGCCGACTGCCAAGACCCACGAACCATGGATACCCTTCACACTCAGGTTCTATCTATATGCAGGGTCTAGTCATATTCGAATAGTTCACACCATAATATATAATGGCGAAAAAAACGACTTTATTCGAGGGATCGGGGTTCGCCTCAAGGTGCCTCTCCAGGAAGAAGCGGCCTTCGATCGCCATGTACGATTTTCTGGAGCATCAGGGGGTGTTCTTGCCGAGGCTTCTCAAGGGCTGACTGGACTTTGGAAGGACCCTGGGCGAGAGGTCAGGTCCGCTCAGGTGCGGGGCAAGCCTCTGCCGTCTCCTGAGAGTTGGGATCCGGAGCTACCCCCAGCTTCTATGCGCTGGGTACCCGTCTGGAATGACTTCAGCTTGCATCAACTCTCACCAGATGGGTACACGCTCGAGAAACGACTGAAGAAGGATCATCCGTGGATAAAGACCGCCAGTGGTACCAAGGCTGGAGGAGTTGTTTACGTCGGTGGCGCTAATCAAGGAGGGTTGGCCATCGGGTCGAGACATTTCTGGGAACGATACCCAACCGGAATCGACATTCGGGGCCTTGGAGCGTCTCAAGAAGACACCGAGGTGACACTTTGGCTTTACGATCCCAGAGCCGGGCCCATGGATCTTCGCCCTTATCATGACGGCTTAGGACAACAAGGATTTGACGATCAGCTGGACGCCCTGAAGATCACTTACGAGGACTGGGAACCAGAGCTTGGGTCGCCTTATGGAATAGCCCGCACAAATGAGCTGATGATATCGGTGACGGACTCAACGCCAGATGGCCATGAGTTCTCGTCACTTATAGACCTTATTCGAGATCCTCCAAAGTTATTACCTAGCCCGGAAGCCATTCACATTAGCCAAGCCCTCGGCACAAACTGGTCTCCCTTGTCGAATGACTCCGCCAAAGGCCTTTCAGCCATCGATGGACGCCTCGAGTTCTTATTTCAATTTTACGAGAAGCAGGTACAACAAAGGCGCTGGTACGGCTTCTGGGACCACGGCGATATCATGCACACGTACGATGAAGACCGACACACATGGCGATACGACGTCGGCGGATATGCCTGGGACAACTCAGAGCTGTCACCAGATCTGTGGCTTTGGCTGTACTTTCTGCGAACCGGTCGAGTTGATGTATTCAATATGGCGGAAGCGTTGACTCGTCATACTGGGGAGGTAGACGTTTACCATCTTGGGCGTTATAAGGGCCTCGGCACACGACACGGCGTGCAGCACTGGAGTGATAGCTGCAAACAAGCCCGTATATCGAATGCCTTATATCGTCGCTTTTTCTACTACCTGTCTGGCGGCGACGAACGTGTTGGAGAACTTCTCGAAGAGACGCTCGATACGGATCAAAAGTTTCTGATCCTCGATCCGTACCGAAAGGTTCGAAAGAACAGAGAGACCTACAGCCCAGATGCACATGCCGTTGAGATCAGTCTGGGAACGGACTGGGCATCATTAGCAGCCTCTTGGCTTGTTGAATTTGAGCGTCGGGGGCTACGATGGAATGAGGCCAAGAGTAAGCTATTCAGGTCGATTGAAGGGATTGGTGTCCTTGCCAACGGCTTTGTTACCGGGAATGCGACTTACAATCCGTCAACCGGAGTCATCTCACCACCCGCCGCAGACCCTGGAAACCAAGGCGTGGTGAAGGTTTCCCACCTATCAGCAATGTTCGGGTTGTTTGAGGTGGCGGCCGATATCCTGCAGCAGTTTCCAGAGAAAGCAAACGCAACTGGGTTCAGGCCCGCATGGCTAGAGTACTGCATCTTCTTCAACGCTAGTCTAGAAGAACAGGAGACTCGATACGGCAAACCTGGTTGGGGCATACTGCAGCTAAGACAAGGACACTCTCGCTTGACTGCCTTTGCGGCGAACGAGCTCAACAGGGCTGATCTGACTGAACGCGCGCTGGAAGAATTTGAGAATGGGGATGGCTTTCGGGACTATGGTCCGAACGCTGTCTGGAAAAGCACCCCGGTGAGCAAGAACCATGTTCTCGAGCCCGCAGATGAGGCTGCTGGGATTTCTACCAACGTCACCGCGCTGTATGGTCTGGCAGGTATTCAGAACCTGGCATTGCTGTTGGATAAGATAAAGACAAGAACTTAGGATGATATTCAAGACAGCCGTAACTGTGCCAACGCGCACAGCATTATGACATTGAGTTTGTTCAAGTATCTCACTTGTTGTCGACGACGCAATTCTGCAGTACTTAGCGTCTCTCAACGCGACGCGTATTGCATGCAGCAAAGTGCGGTAAACTTTCCTTTTTGACCTTGACAAGCGAGACCGACTGTTCTACCGCAAGAGAAAGCTTGTTGTTGTTATTGTTGTGTGGAGTAAATAAGGTTTTCAATGACAACTCAAGTTGAGTGGAATTAGAAACTCAGTCAGATAGAGGGTCTTGAAATTCCCGGGTTCGTCCGGCCTACAACGCGGATGATCAGCTCATCGAAAAGCGTGAATCGGTGACAAATTAACGAATGAACAAAGCAATTTGCTGGAACATCCCAACTTTCAGCCAAACGCGAGTGCTCGCCTCGTCGGTTTCGGCTCCGTCCCGTGCGTTGGTAACCAGTAGGAGAGGTGTCGACGGTTGCAAGGAGGTGGCATTGGATTTGAGTTTGTCCCGCAACTTGATCGAAACTGTTTCGTCTAACAAAACTTGTCGATCAGTGCACTTTAAATTGATAGTCGCCTTGTTCCCGCCGGCAGAGTTCCCTGCAACATGGTAATGCTACCTTCCTGCAACAAACGCTATCCGGCATGAAGCTTCCACGGTCCAATCTCTGAGTGTCCACAACGACGATCCGCGTAACCCTCCACCACGAATAGCCTTTGAAAATGACCGAAATTACCGAGCTATATGATGCTCATGTCTGCCCAGACCTCTCACAATAAGGACAGTTTGTTCGTCTCAATGCCAAGTCGGTTGCTTTATTCAACCATCTTGCCCTCGTCTGGTCACAACTTTTTTAGATCCGGAAGATCGCACGATGCGCGTCTGGTGTTGATACCGTTGAGATGCGTATGCGCTCGAAGAGCTTACTTGCGCCACGGCGCCCCGTTCGCTTGGCTGTCTTTCTCGCCGCAGTCTTTGTCACGGTTTTCTTACTGTTTCCTCCATTCGAATCTAGACCGATCCTATTATTCCCCAGCACCAGCAGCCAGACTGAGAAGATCACATTCCGCAAGAGTTCTTTCGACTGGGCGACAGTAGAGCAACACCACCCCGTCACCTCCTTCAAGCCCCTACCGACGGGCAAATCACTAGGTCTTCCTTCGATCCAGCACGAATTCGGCGTGGGTAATCCGCATCCAGAGGCACCGAAGCGACAGAAGGCTGTCCGCGATGTATTCATCCGAAGTTGGAACAGCTACAAGAAGTTTGCTTGGGGTCGGGATGAGCTAGCGCCTGTAAGTGCCGGAGCTAAGGATACATTTGGAGGATGGGCTGCGACTCTGGTGGATTCTCTCGATACGCTCTGGATCATGGAGCTCAAGGACGAGTTCCGCGCCGCGGCCAACGTAGCCGTGAAGTTGGATTGGGCCAACACAACAGCCACCAGCATAAATATGTTTGAAACTACGATAAGACACCTAGGCGGCCTGCTTAGTGCGCACGATCTTAGTGGCGAGCCTGCCCTCCTCGATAAAGCGAAAGAACTGGGGGATATGCTTTACATGGGATTCGATACGCCAAACCGCCTGCCAGGCTTTTGGATCAACTTCGAAGACGCTAGGAATGGAACCCAGCTAGCTGGCGCGCACGATCCGTCAGCTTCCCCGGGCTCATTAGCTATGGAGTTTACGCGTTTATCCCAGCTGACGGGTAATCCGAAATACTTCGACGCCGTGGATCGCATTACGAGGTTTCTTGAAGGCACGCAATTCAAGTCCAAACTTCCCGGGATGTGGCCGAAGATGATCAATTTCAGAGAGGAACGAGTCGATACCGACAATGGCTTCACGCTGGGAGCCTTGGCAGATTCACTTTACGAATATCTGCCGAAAATGTTTGCGCTACTGGGCGGCCGAGATCCATCGTACGAGAAGATGTACATTGGAGCCATGGCAATAGTAGAGCAACACATACTTTTCCGGCCTATGGTTTCAGATCGAGATGACATCCTGTTCGCCGGCGATGCCTTCGTCTACGCCGACCGGATCGAGCACGTATCCGACGGCCAGCACCTCGCATGCTTTGCGGGCGGTATGCTTGGTCTCGGCGGCAGACTCTTCTCCGTCGACAATCACGTTGCTCTGGGTGAGAAGGTTGCACGAGGATGTGCATGGGCGTATGATGCGTTTGCGTCCGGCGTGATGCCGGAGAACTTTAATCTCATCCCTTGCGAAGCCCGGAAGACCGGCGATACACAGAAGGACGACGAATGCCTCTGGGACGAGTCAAGATGGAAGAGCGAGGGAGATCCGAGGCTGAAGAAGGGTTTTCGAAATGCCCGCGACCCGAGATATATCCTCCGTCCCGAAGCAATTGAGAGCATATTCCTGTTATACCGGATGACGGGCCGACAAGATCTCCAAGATATTGCCTGGCAAATGTTTGAGTCGATTCTGAAAGCCACAGAGACGGAGCACGCCTATTCAGCCATAGCTGATGTTACTGTTCCGCCGCATCAGACGAGAAAATTGGACGAGATGGAGGTATGTATTTGCAAACGTCCTGCGGTGAATATCCGCTTTGCTCGCGCCCATATCGGAGTGACACAGTCTGCTAACTCCCTTCCTCCACAGAGCTTCTGGCTCGCTGAGACTCTCAAGTACTTCTATCTCATTTTCTCACCACCCGATCTCATTAGCCTGGATGAGTACGTTCTCAACACAGAGGCACATCCGTTCAAAATCCCCAGATCAGCAACGCCGCAGAGCTGAGGAGGACTTTTGGCGTTTTAGATTCGGAAGATACATATATTGGTTCGGATCTCGGTACATGCCATGATGAGTACATTAAGAGGACCCCGCGTGCAAGGGAGTTACTGTGAAATAGTTTATAAGACTGAAGGATACATGAAGTAAGATATATATACATAATTTTGATCACTCCTCCGAAGGCAAGTGATGCAATATGATTACAGCTTGACAGTAACTCAGTTTCGGCATGTGCCTAGATACCCTAGTAAGTAACCAAGGTATCGAACCATTGAGCAAACAACTCAATCTGGTTGTCTTTGGCAATAGGAAGGGCTTGGAAGCCATCACCAAGCTCCATCACCGTCGCACTGACATTGCTTGCAGGCGTCCATTGGTTCAAGCCATCTCCATTTGGGTCGCCAGTCTTGATAAAGTTGACCCAGTAACTGTTCATGATATTGGCAATCTCGTAGTCCTCGCTAGTCCATGGCGAGTCGGTTCCGTAAAGGTTGTTGTGTACGTAGTTAATCTCGCTCATGTGGAAGGCGCCCTGAGTTTGCCCAGGCGGGGCGTGGTCCCAAATGTAGTTGTAAACTGACGATGTAGCATTGGCTTGCCACAACTGTGACCAGAAGAATGTTCCCACTTTCGAGCGGTCAGTCCATTGGGCATTCTCAGCTGCAGAGGCAGTGATCGAGTCGTTGGCAGGGTATGCGGCGAGGAACTTGTCCTGCCAGGTGCTGAATGTCTCGTTCAAGTCGGAGATGTACGTCGCAAGAGTGATGTTGAGGCCGTACTCCGCCCCGCTCTCGTCTCTAGTGTTGCCCGTCATGACAGGGACATCCTGGGCAATTCCCTCCTTCAAGGTGTTGATGTAAGTGTCCGGCATGGCGTAGTAGTCGAGCGTAGCCGTGAAGTCGAACTCGGAGTTGAGGAATTCGGTGACCAGATCCTCCATCGGCAGAGAGCGCATGCATGCAATATCAGAGCAGTTCATCGAGGCCATGTATCTGCTCGCCGTCTCCATGTTTACGTCCAGACTCCGGTAGTTCTCTGCCAAGCTAGTGCATAGAGGGTCGTGAGGGTCGCGGACGCCGGACTGGATGATGGCACCATGGAGAGGAACGCCGTGTAGAGGACCATTAAGCATATGGTAGGTAGCTGCCGAGCCGGCGGACTGGCCCATGACTGTGATATGGTCAGGATCACCACCGAAGCTGGCAATATTCTCATGAATCCACTTCAAAGCGGCGAACTGGTCCAGCATGCCATAGTTGCCCGAGCTATTCGATCCAGCGGTGCTAAGTCTCTCCTGGTTGAGCTCGGGCGTTGCGAGCCAGCCGAAAGACCCAGTGCGGTAATTGTAGTTGACGTATACGACGCCCTTGTCGGCGATGCCTGCTCCGTCGAAGAGCGGCATCGCTGCGGTTGAGCCGGCCGGATAGCTCCACATGACAACAGGCAACTTGGCATCTGTTGAGTTTGCCGCGCTCCAGACGTTGAGGTTCAAGCAGTCTTCGCCAACGGTGTAGGCATCTGTACCGCTGCCCACAGCAGAAGGGCAAATGCTGCCAAATGACTTGGCGTCGAGAGTTGAGTTCCATGCGACGATGGGCTGAGGCGCCTTGAAGCGATTGTTGCCTGCAGTAGAGGCAGCAAAGGGGATCCCCTTCCAGATGGCAATATCTGCCCAATTATCAAGAGACATGTTTGCCGGGGAGCTATTGAATGCCGGGTAGCCCTGAATCAGTCCATATTTTGTCTGAACAGCAGTATCGTAAAGAGCTGCGCTTGCGGCCTGGGCCAGCGCAGCGCCGACGACGGCTTTTTGCACCATTGCTGGTACGTGGACAAGGCAATTTGGTAAGTCAGAAAGAGTGTAATAGTTGAGAGTAAAGTAGAAATGGGTAAGCACTCTTATTACTGGTGGACTGGTAACTCTGAGTCAATGATATGTTTCGCAGCAGTCGGCATGGCTATATATATGACATTGCAAAGCCTCCACAGCATTTGCATGTAATTATGGCCACCAAACATGGCTTTTCGTTACGCTTGAATTAGCCAGGATCGGTGTAGCCGTATTGGTTCAAAGCTCAGAACATGGCCTATGGGGTGATGTTTCCTAACGGATATAGCGGCTTTACTAGCATTCCATCGACTAACATTATGGCTGAGTCTTGAGCGCCTGGGGGTTGCATTACGCGGCGACAGTGCTGGCGATCGTCGCCTCCCCCAGC